ATTCTTACACTCGTATCCTTCACCACACATCGTGGAAAGGCATTCACACCTAGCCTGGGAAGGGTTACAAACACAGATAAACGTATGCCATTACCCTCTTCTAACAGAGATCTGTGTTTTCAATTAGGTTTTGGAATTTGATGCCAACCATAGACCCAGTTATGGGGAGATTTTACCAGCAGAGGATAGATCAGACTTTGGAGCCTGGTCTGCTTTCCTGAAGGTACATTCCTAAGCTGAAAGTTAGCTCCACAGGCAAGGAGGCCTCATATATATTTTCAGCTCTTTTCACCTAATGTTATCCATTCTTAACAAGGCAAAAGAAGCCCATTTTTCACTACCACATGCATCACTACACATTAGCTGAGCAACATAGCAAAACCTGGGTTGACAAAGAGCATACTGAAGTTTGAGGGATTTTAACAGGGTCCTTGGTGTTCTGTGAACATGAGGTTGCACGGAGGTTTAGCCCTGTTCACTAGTGCCGGCTGTTTTTTTACGCAAGATGGCAGCGCGCGCGTTTGGCAATACACGCCTCTATGTAGGCGTAGACTCCCAGTTGTAGAAGACACGTTGCGGTTCCACCAGTTTCACCATGTTGCAGGATTTGGCATGTACTAGTGGTCTGTCCTTCAAAAGGGAGCATTGTCCTCTTTGTAGTGGCCTTAGCTTATCCCCCAGCAGATAGCTGCTCGCATCGCCCAGGGCCCGAGAGATGCGGCATCACTGTTTGGTGCAAGGAGCAAAGGATGAGGAGGGAACAGAAGTCATCCGCTCAGCCCAGTTGCATACTGTTGGAAATAAGGTAGGGAAAAGAAAGTGAATTACTTCAGGAAATGTATTTTGGTAGATCCTGAGGCACCAAGAGTCATGTAGATGAGCACTCCCAAATCTTAAAATTTGAGAATTTTTTCTGGGCTCATTTTCCATTTACATTGTAACGAAAAGTGATGTTCAGGTATGGTGCTGACCTGGTACCACGTAGTCTGCTGGTTCTGTTCATGGTACTGAGCATGGGGAAGGCTTTGTCTTTTTGAGAAGTGGAGGGTCAAAATGCTTTCTCCTGGCCTGCTGGTTTGTTACTGTAATGCTTAATTGAAGTAGAAAATTTGATCTGACGTGTCAAATGTGGCCCTGGTTGGCTAGAGGCCAAATTGAGCTGCTGAATTTCAGTTTGCCTTAAAATGGCTGATATTACTGTTCACATACCCAAATTTCCTTTTGGAATGTACTTTTAAAGTCTTTTTTTGATAACTTTATATATCTTTCTGTATCCTTTTTTTTCCTCAAAAATCAATTGCTTCAGAAAACAAAAGAGCTAAAGTAAATGTTTCGCATAGCATTTCTGGGCCCACTTTGTATCATGGAGTTTCTTACATCTGTGGATTGGAGAAAATGTGTATTAACAAATCACTTTGCCCAGCGCAAAGCCCATTTGACAAGTTACTAAGTTGCCGGCAACGGAAGAAAAACTGAATAGGAAATAAGGAAATACTTATTTCAGTCTTACAGGGTTTGGGTTCAAGTTTGTTGTAAGTCATTTATGAAGATGGCAAAAAAGTTACATCAGATTTTCAGTATTTCTTTTGCAACTTTGTATGTTTCATTATTTGGCAAAGAGAGAAAATGAAATAAAATCATCCATATTTGAGCCAATACCAAGGTTTGCTGGCTGCTGTGGCTGGGTTGGAAGTGTCAGAGTGGGGTATATTGTTGCCTGGAATCTGTCCTAGAGTGGGATGTAATCGGTGAGTCATACGAAGAGAAGATTTTGTGTTCAGTATCTCGTCTTGTTCCACATCTTACCTTCCTGTAGTTGTGAGCAAAGTTGCTTCTGCCGCTTCGAGCGTCGGAAGGCAGTACAAAGCAAGAGAAGCGCAGTACAGCACGTTACTGACCTGCTTTGGCTGTTACAGGTGGAATTTTTGATGAGTTCATGACACAGCCACAGTATTTCTGTGGAGGGGGACAGAAGTGTTTTCAGGGGGATGTCCAAGCAGGTAGGAATATACAAGAGCAAAAAGTAAATCAAATGACTACAGGTTGTAGTCAGAAGCCTTCTGTTTCATGGGTTTCAGAGATGAACCTCCAGGTATTGATTGATAGCAACATGTAGTGCCTCAGTATTTCCTAGGCCAAGGGGGAAACTACGAGAACTACCACATTTTTACATTGTTAAAATAGAACCTAAACACATGGTGTTTTTTTTTTTTTTTTAAGCATGTACTGAGAGGCAATTCCTGCCTCAACCAACAGATGATCTGTGTAAACAAAATGGGATAGTGGATGGAAAAGAAAACTGGCGGAGGTCATCACAACAATTCAAAAATTATGTTGGCAGCAGTCCTTTTCCGAGTCCAGCTGAAGTGCTTTACCGCTTTAGACAGCACTAGCTCGTTGGGAATACTGACGAGTCCTGTGGTGGCGATGACTTGAAGCTAGAAAAATCTACACCTCCCATTTAGCACCTGTTTTTCTCTCCCCTTTTTTTCACCCCATTTCCATCTCTTTGTGGGGAACGCAAACTTGTGTTTCTTCCATGCACGCACCTTGTTTACTGCTTTTTTTCTTAGCAGCAGCTCGTGTTTTCAGATCAATACTGGCTCCTGGCAACAGAAGGTTAAGCATCATTTCCCCGGTCTACTGAAATGTTTTGTGCTCAGAGCCCTCTTGGTCATTGGTGTCAGTCTTGATTTAAAGCGTAAAGAAGAGGGACAGCGGACAAAGCTGGAGACAAGACATGATTTCTTTACATTTTCTTTACATTTTCTTCTTCTATTGAAATATCTCCCCTCAAACCTTTCTAAAACCTGACACTTGCTCTCCTTTTGCCAAAGCTGCTCGTTCTCACGCGCGCCCCGGGGTCCTGCTCCGCTCCGGCTGTGCGAGCGCTGTCGTGGAGCGGGTGCCGGGCCCAGGGTGGCCGTCAGGGGGTAGGGCTGGGATCAGTAGTCACTTGCCAAATACCTTTCTAATGCTGTCACTAATTCTGCACAGACAGCATCTCTGAAAGCAAAAACAAATCTTTTCCAGTGCATTGTCCTGCGTTTTCTACAAAAAGCATTTAGAAATGCCTTTTCTTGGTTGCGTTAGCTGGGAGGGACCATGCCATAGCCACTACAAGAGTCAGCCCTAGGGAAGCCTGAAGCCGTGCCGCAAGAATCCTCTGCAAATCCGTTGAAGCTGGCATTTGGCACTGGCACGGGCTAATTTTGTACTTGGGGTTACACATACACACACCCATGTCATTCTTCTTCATCTGCTACATATGGAAAGCTGCCCCAAGCTCGACAGTGCCAGGGAATGTTTTACTAAAACCTCCAGACTTGGTTTGATTATGTTACTATGCACACGGGGCTGTAGGAGCGGTGGGAGTGGCGTGTGCTGCCAGCTGAACTGCCGTTCGCTAGGTAGTCGTCGGCTTGAGCCAGAGTTCCACGCCGCTGCTCTGCTGCCATGAAAGTAGTAGACTGTTCATGGACGTGAGGTCATAATTTCCTTCTAATAAAGGTGTGCAAAAGGGATGGCATTGCTCTAGTTAGATCGCTGTTGGGTTTGCCTGGAAGGCGGTTGTGAGTCTGGAGAAGTGCATTTTGACAACGCTGCTTTCAGTTCCCCGTGTACTCTTCAGGTAGAGTCATGTAGATCCCAGTTTTCAGGAGTGGGTAATCATTTGGAGAAGCAGTTTCAGGTGCCTCGAAGGGGACGGATTTTCAGAACACGAGACATTGGCAAATAAGATCCTTTCTTTCACCGGTGAATAGACCGGGTTTTGAATCCTTTCAGGCTCTCCAAGTGTTGCCATGCCTGGGTTTTACAGACACACCTGTATAAATACTTGTTTGCCCACAGAAATCACGGTAAGGTGTGAGGATGGAAAAATGTAATGCAAATATGAGCGACTGCTAGTTATTGCAGCATGGTTCTGCCACCTTACTTAGAACCAGTTGAATGGGAATATGAAAAGGTAAAGAGTTCGGAATTGCAAAAAGAAAAAAAACAGAATAGAACCCAAGGTGATGTGTTTCTCGTATTATTTCTAGTCGTGATGCAGCATAAGGTCCAGAACCTTCTCCCTCCCTGCTGATAGATGTGTTTGTACTGGCAGGGCTTCAAGCTGGTATCCCCACTGCACCAGTTAAACCAGTAGTTACCAATTTTTTTGCAAGCCACGCTGGGACTGTAGGAATTTTATTCCTTCACAGTGTTGAAGGAAGGGGGTTTTGCTTGCCAAAGGGCTTTCTTATGCTTGAGGATGATTTATGGGCCAAGCTGAGCCACTTGTGGAAAAGGCAAAGCAGCTCTTGGCAGCACCCCCAGAATCCACTGCAGCTGTGGGGTAGTGAAGTCATCGGCATAACAACCACTGCAAACAGAATAACAAAGTCTGTTCTGTTCTCATTTAAAATAATCTTTCCAGTTCAGCAACCACATTAAACCTTACCTTTCTGCATACAAAAATAATAAAAGGCAGATAGTCCTCTGCAACATGGTGTGAATGTCTCGGTTGTATTCCTGCCTACCACTCCTGCACCATCTACACTTTATCAGAATATTTTAAATGAAGGAATGAAGCTGCATTACATCATAATTTGTGTCTGTCCCTTGTTTTCACTCCTTTGTTTCTCCTTAGGTTTAAAAATGCAGAAAAAAACCCCAGCGTTTCTTTCTTTCAAATACAAAATTTGCTTTTGCCTTATAACCTGTTTTGAAGCTGATTGCAAAATGAGTAATTCTGTCTTTGATTTTTCCTGCCTGTCTTTGTTTCAGGTCCCTTCAGATCCTCCTGCTTCCAAAAAGCCCAAAATAGATGACTCTGCTTCCCAATCTCCAGCTTCTGCGGAGAAGGAAAAACAGTCCAGTTGGTTACGGTCCTTATCCAGTTCATCTAATAAGGTGATTGCTGAATATTTTGTAATCAAAAGAGAAATCAAATTAGCATGTAGCATCCCTTTACTGAAACCAGAAGAGAAGATGAGAGTAAGAACTTGCCCAGGTTTTCTAAATTAGTAGCATTTCTATCCTTTTCCTAGCAAACATTGAGCTATACAGTCCTCCGGTTTCCTTGCCATCTTCCAGTGTTCACTGACCTTGAGTGTGACAATGGAGTAAGCAATTCCTCTGTGCCTTTGAGCTACAAGAATCCTGAAAGACTCGGGAGCTTTTTGTGGTCTCTGCAAACTGCAGATAACTTACTGGCGAAGAAGAAACCTGTGAGGTTTTACATTAGTGCAGTTTGCCTCTTCGAGGGGAATCTACGAAGTAGGTCCTAGCCAGTGGGGAGTAGTTTTAGAGAGAACAGAATGTGTACGGAAGGGCATCACTAGCACTCCATTGTGATTTACAGTTTAAAAGATTGTTTGTATTTACTTATTTTTCTTTCCCCTCCTTCCCAGAGTATTGGCTGTGTCCATCCCCGCCAGCGTCTCTCAGCTTTCCGGCCCTGGTCCCCTGCTGTATCGGCAAATGAGAAAGAGCTCTCAACCCATCTTCCCGCGTTGATCCGAGACAGGTAGAGAGACGTGAGCGGAAGGGACAGTGGGGTCGGCAGCCGTGGAGGTTTATCGGGCAGCAAGTTGCTTTATGTTTGTTCTCTTGCACTGCTGACTGGTGGCTTTGTAATTCAGTCAGTCCACTCGTATCAGGTTAAAAAGCATTTGCAGCTGCAGTGCTTTAATTTGCAGAATGGAAGCAAAAAAAACGTACTGATCTTTTGTGCATTCGTTAAATAGGTTTTCTTAGGTGAAATGTGCTATAGAAGTCTGAGGGAAGGCTGCTTCTATGAACTTGTGATCATTTTGGGGTAGAGTCATCAGAAGTTCTCAGCCTTCACTGTTTAAGGGAAGATTGAGTTACTCTCTGAGGGCAGGCGGTCAGGGACCAGCCAGCTCTTTCCAGGCATCAGCCAGTCAGTAACTGCAGCAGCCCTGGAACGCCGGCCTGTCCGCCTGTTGCCAGCACAGCTGCACGCTGCCTCCGGTGTCGGCAGTGCCAGAGGAAGACGGGGGACTGGATGGACAGCACGGGCTCTTGATGGCCAGGGGTCCTGGGGGGTTGTGGCAGAGCACACTGGGCAGGAGAGCCTGTGGAAGGGTCCTCAGCTTCCGAGACCCGTCAGGAAGCTGGTGTTAGAGGCCAGGTTCTGCGCTGGGATAGGAACATCATTAAACTGGTACAAGCGTGAGTCACCACCCATAATAGGTGGGACCGTTAGTGTCGCAGAACGGAAAGTGTCCGGGCAGTTGTACATTCCTTTGCCAGACTTCAACTGTTCAGTCTGAAAAATCTTTGGGCCAGATTTCTGCCTAAGGGTGATGGTTTCTTTGGAAAGTTTGAATAAAGTGACCAGGTGTTTTTAGGAAGCGTTATGGAGAGCATATTTTGCTGCTCTTATGAAGAAGTTTCTTAGAAGCTGTGGGGATTGATTTAAAAAAAAATAAAATAAAAGGAAAAGAAAAGAAAAGAAAGCCTACCAGCATATCCTTGCTTTTAAACACTTTTCAGTTAGGTAGGGACAGAAGGGCTAAACTGGTGTAAGTGTATGCCCTTGGTATCCCCGTGAGACATTTGGCTAATTTGAGTCTTGGGGAAAAAACCCACCTTCAACAGGTTCAGGAGAAATGTTAACATATGATTGAAGATACATCATGTAGTAGATGTGAACTGAAGTTGCAAAGACAGTCTTTGCTATGTTTATTGCAAAATTCTGTGTGTTTAACGTTGCAGTATTACTGTCCTTTAACAGTGCTTTGTTGGGTTTTTTAACCGTGGTTTTACATAACGTGTGCTCACATGCATGCTGTGTCAGAAAATTAAAAGATGCACAAGAATATGCCTTTTGCATTCCCGTGGCCTTTCTTAAGGAAGTGCCGTTTCCAAGTTTACAAAACATTTGTGGGTAGGCAGAAGTAAAACTGTGCACTTGGGTAAAACAAGAATGCCTGAAGACTATGAGGAAACACCATTAGAATTTTTAGACTCTGGGAGATCTCATCTCTTTGGTGCTATTAGAGTTATGTGGCACTTCAGATGTGATCCCTTCCGAGCTGGATGGAGATTGGCTGTATAAATCATCCCCATGTTTAAATGAGTGCAAAACGCTAAGCAAATATACAGGCAGATCCTTAGCTGCTGTAAATCAGTGGAACTTCACTGTCATTCCAGTAAGTCCCTTGCAGTTTCAGTGTAACACATGGATCGGGAAGCATTTTGAAGCCAAGAATCTGACTCTCTTCTCCTTCCTTTTACCTCCCCCTCTAAAACAGTTTTTACTCCTACAAAAGCTTTGAGAATGCTGTGGCCCCCAACGTGGCACTTGCACCTCCAGCCCAACAGAAAATTGTCAGCAACCCCCCCTGTGCCACGGTAGTGTCGCGGAGCAGCGAGCCGCTGAGCAGCCATTGCCCAGCCACGGAAAAGAAAACTTGCTGCAGAGAACACAGCTGTCCCCGAAGCGGCAGCCACTGTTGCAGCCACCGTTACCAACACTGAAGAGGACAAGGAATCCGAAGCAGAAATTGAAGTAGAAACCAGGGAAGAATGTAAGTGACAGCTCTATCTACCTTTATTTTGTTTTATTTGTGCTGGGCTTTCCTCAGTAATCCACAGGAGTTAGCTGTTCAACTTGTGTTTAAATACCTCAACAGGATGTAAAAATACAGCCTTAAGTAATAATGAAAACCAAGAATGGAACAGAAGGCGGGGGGAGTGGAGGGGGGGTGTTTTCCTGGGAGAGGATCGTGCATCGACAAAAAGAAGCACCTGAGCCACAGGTGTACACCCACCTAGAGTCTTTTATTAAAGCAGGTGAGTGTTGTGCGGAGGACAGAATGTATGTGTGGTCACCTCCAAACTGATGGTTTGCCGTCTGATCAAGAGCCTTCTCTAAAAGCCTCTGTGGGATACACGCAAATAGCCCGGAAAATTTCCAGACCGCGCACATGTGCAGGTGTGGGATTTTGTGTCCGACAAAGAATGCGATCAGAGAGCTTCAGGACTGCAGCTCCGGAGCTGAGTGCATGAAGCAGAGCTCAAGAGCCAGCATGTTCTCAAACACTGTTCCGATATTGGGCCTCTCGGTAAAGATGGAGGAGGACGCTGGTGTGGCCTCGCTGATGTCACTTAGGCGATTCTGCTCCTGCCCTCCGTCTGTTCAGCCCTTACTCAGTGCATGCAGTTTATGCAAAAAGGAGAAATTTTGCCCTCTGGGAACAGCAGGATCATGTAGGTTTTCCTGGAGAAATCTTAACACTGTTGATGACACAAATTCCAAAGTCACAACTGAAGCAAAGTGTAAGCTGGTCCCTTAAGCCAGTCAGGTCTGCGTTTTCGCCATGTTTCAAGTGTCAAAGTACAAAACGAGTGTTTTCTTTCTTCCCTTTTTTTCATTGAATATTGGGTGTCTCCTCTGTACAAAGGGCCTCAGCATATTTTGAGTTACATTAGTTTTAGACATTTTTTAAATTAATTTTCGATGTTTCTATTTTTCAGTCACCTCCTCCTTATCCTCGCTGTCCTCCCCATCCTTTACTTCATCCAGCTCCGCGAAGGACATGAGCTCACCGGGGATGCAAGCCCCAGTCCCAGTCAGCAGTTCATACGAGGTTGCGACACATTCCGACTCTCACAGCAGTGGGTTGGAAGCTGAGCTGGAGCACCTAAGGCAGGCCCTGGACAGTGGCCTGGATACAAAAGAAGCCAAAGAAAAATTCCTCCATGAAGTTGTTAAAATGAGAGTGAAGCAGGAAGAGAAGCTAAATGCTGCCTTGCAAGCCAAACGCAGTCTGCATCAGGTAATGTTGAAAACCAGCTTTTTCTTACCACCATTGGCAAATCCTCTTCCAGGTAGAAACCGTCAGGTAGTCTCATGTAAAAAAAAAAAATTGCCTTATTTATTCCCGGACAGCAGCAGCCTTTACTGGGGTACTGTTTGTAAATTCAGGCAGGAAACCAGAGTACACAGGAACCATTCCTATGTTTTTAAGCTCACCACCTGTTTCTGCCTTCGGGTGGAAATCCATGGTTACTCAAAATCAACATCTTTTCATTACTGAAAAAGTCGTCTAGTCCAGCACAGTTTATTTTGTTTTCATTTCACTGACCTAGAAACATTTCTGTCCTTATGGCAGCTTTATCTGTAGTTTTAAAAGATTTGTAAAGAACCTGCGGCTGCCCAGCTGAGGGCATGTCCTGGGACGCAGAGACCCTTGCTGAAGCTCTGGTGAAGAGCTGAACCGTGGGTCTCTGTTAAGCTCGGCATTAGCCATGCTTCGCTGAATGTTGCTTGCTTCATTCAGTGAAGAAGCTCCATATTTCTGGAAATCCGTGCTACATCGGTCATACCAAAGAGAGACTGGTCAGATAGAAAGGGCTGCGGAGACGTACTGGTCGTTAGCAAGTCACAGTGGCTGAGCAGAATGGCGGGGGAACGTTTTATGATTTGAGCTGGGGCAAAAGTAGAACAGAGAAATGGAAGATGGAGCCAGTGCAGAAGGGTTGCTTGTCCTGCTCGGATATTGTATGTGGAGCCGTGACGGAGCTAGAAATGTCATCCCGTAGGTGCACCTGGGCTGCCAGCTGTAACACAAGGGCCTTGTTTCGTCCAGTGCAGGAGGCAGAAAACCGAGGCTTGTACTTGGTCAAAAGCAGGTCTGCAGGCTGGTTAGCTGGCAGCACGCGTTTTGTTGCTGTGGGGAGTGAAGCGAAGGACAGTCGCTCACAGGGGTGAGTGGTCTGCAGCAGGACTGCTGTGCTTAAAAAAACCACCAGAAACCCCAATCCTCAAAACCCCCGCAGCAGATTGAAGTGTTCTGCTGGCAGGCAGGAGGTGAGATCACTCAGGGCGGAGGTAGGATCACGATTAGAATCGTAACAAAAGTTTGCCACCTCAGATTCCTGCAGAAGCTGCAGTGCTGCAGGCCAGCTCCTGCGCTCGTCCCTCTCCTGCGCAGGCGGCTGCTTAGGGGCTGCCTGCAGACCCAGGCCCCAGAGAAGGGAGGCCAAGAGCTGTCTTTTCAGCTGAACTGCGTGTGCATCATCACCTTGAGCAGATCACTCCGTTCCCTTGTGTTTCAGTAAATACATGTTTTGTTTTATGTATTTAAAAGTAAGTATTTATAAGTAATACATATTTAAAGCTAATTTTTAAATATCTAAACCAAATACACAGCGTGTACTTGAAGTAAAGCAGGAATTACATGAAGTAGTTGGTGAAGCAGAAGTGAGTGTTGAGGGATTAAATCAAGCACCATGTCAGAGTGAGAGGGAATGTGGTATCTGGGCATCGTTTTCCATTTGGGCAGCTGTGGGTCTCCAGTTCCACAGACAGCGCGAGCACACGTGCGCCTGCTTCCAGAGGCTGCGCTAACAATGGCCTGGTGGGAAGTGAGATTGTCAGAAAAGTGAATTTCCCATGACCTGGCTGCAGCGTTACTTAACAGAAACACGCTGCTGTGAGGGTTTGACTCTGACAGAGAGGAAATGCTGATTCGGGGGGGGGAGGAATCAAACTTTAGTTTCTGATTTAACCATTTAGGAGACAGACCATTAGTGAGCCACATTTTTGTGCTTATGATGAACACATCTGTCTTTCAACAATGGCTTTTTAACAGCTTACGAGTTTCTTCCTTTAGGTTTCTCATCATTATCCCTTCAACTAATGTCTCTCTTGGATTTGAGATTTCAAGGTAGCAGCTCCTGGTAAGGACCTGGACAGCGAGAGTGACAATTTCCAGAGCAAAGCATGGTTTCGATTTGGCTTAAGGTTTTAGCCTGGAGCTTTCCAGATGCTGTGACAGGGCAGTCCGCTGGCTGGGTGTCAGGAGGCTTGGGGCTACACGCCAGTTACCTGTAGCAAAACAAAATTGCCTCCAGTTAGAAAGAAGATCCACAATTTGTTTTTTCCTCATACTTGCCTTAAGTGGATTTTTTTAGGGGCTTGATAAAATGGAACTGCTTACTGATTCCTTCAGCAAGTTCTAAACTTTCATGTTCAGCTTTGCCGTACACAAAGGGCGCTCACGAATTGCATTTATCGTCACGTAGGGTGCCTTCAATTGAAGTGCAGGCATTCCAGTTGGTTTGTTTGAAACTTTGAGCTGGTGTAGAGCACATTGCTAGCAGCTCTCTCCAACTGCAGTTCATCTTTATTCAGTCACAGATGGTCACAGCTATTTTGCTTGACAAAGCAAAATGTGGCTGTAGCGTATAGCTGCTTATTATCCGAGAATTCAGGGTATCTTGAGCGTAGGATCTCATGTTGATTTAAAGGAGAAGAGCGTGTACAAAGTTCAGACCGAGGTTTAGACATGAGCCTTCTCGGTCATAACCAGCAGAAGGGGGGTTCACTTTGGGTCGCTTCCATTACAGGTCGGTTTCCTCGCACTGGTTCAGTCTCCGCTCCTCAGTTCTCACGAGTTCACTGCTTTTGTGTTCTAGGAGCTGGAGTTCCTGAGAGTGGCCAAGAAAGAGAAACTGAGAGAAGCAACAGAGGCGAAGCGCAACTTAAGGAAAGAGATTGAACGTCTGAGAGCTGAGAATGAGAAGAAAATGAAGGAAGCCAATGAGTCTCGGATACGACTGAAGAGGGAACTGGAACAAGCCAGGCAGATCCGGGTCTGTGACAAAGGCTGTGAAGCAGGCAGGCTCCGGGCCAAGTACTCAGCCCAGGTAAGACCCCAGTGCTGACAGCTGTCAGCTCACCGTTTCTGCAGTTCTCAGGGTTAGTTCAGGTGTCTGTCTGTCCTCTCATGCCAGTGGTGATGCAGGTCCAGCTCCTCTCTCCACAGTGTCTATGTCCCCAGCACATTTACAGCGCTAGTCCTGGCGCAGGGCGCTGCCAGCTTGCCTGCACTGACCACCTGCGTCAGCCCCGCGGCGCTGCCCGGGACTGGGCACGTTGTCAGCTGGAAATCACCATTTACAGAGCAGCAAGACAAACGCTAGGCGTTATTTCAGTGCCACTGACGCTTCGTTGGCACTGCCAGTTTCAATACTGTAAATATTAGGCAGGGCCAACATCTCCTGTAGCATTTTGCCTTGAAGCTCCGGCTAGACCTACAGGAACTATTTAAACCAAGAGCAGCAGCCCCGGCCCCTCACTCAGCGAAGTGCTGTGCTGGGAAGGAGGGATGTTTACAGTTGTAAAGCCCGAGAAGAGCAAACTGTCAGGTCTAAGAAAAGCCTTCCAGTTTGAGCCCAGTGAAGGTTCTAGGAATGCAGGAACATGTTGTTACAAGCAATGTGTATGCTTTAAGCTTTGAAACTAAAAATCCCTCCCCGCCTTCTCCCCATCAGATCCTCCTCTAATAAAATACTTTGAAGTTTACTTAAGCCATCCAAAGCCAAGCGAACCAGGAGCTCAGGCTGCACATCCTGAAGTCGCCTTGCTGTGTTGCAGGGCATGTGGCATGCAAGGCCGTCCACTGTTCCGAGCCCCCTGAAATGACCCAGCGTGACAGGCAGAGCTGCGAGCAGCATGGCAGCCGCCTGGATTGCCGTGAGAAACAGCCCTGAAGAGGAATCCATTGCAGGCCCTGCCTTCCCCTTCCTCCGGCAGAACAGTCCCAGTTGCCCAGTAACGCATTTCCTATCAAGGGGATGGTCCCACACCCAGTGTTAACCCCCTCCGTGCCCCATGGCGAGGGGCTCCCTGCGGGCCCTCTCGTTCCGGCTGCTGCCTCCTGGCCCTGCTGCAGCTGCGTGCCCTGCAGCCTTGCTCTGGCCTGCGCCCACCCAGAGGCCCCCTCTGTCGCTGGCTCCTGGGCGAAACGCCTGGCTGAGACGCGTAAGTAAAAGGGGAGGGTCAGCAAGCGTTAGCAACGGGAGGGCTCTGAAAAACCAGGCACTCTTGCCCCAACGTAAACTGCTACAGCAGAGCTAGATTGCTGAGTGCCAGTGCCACAGAGGTGTCACGCGGCCACCAGCTCCGCTTGCACGTTGTGACACACCTGAAATAACGCTGAAGGGAGCTCTTCTAGCCCCCTTCCCTACAGCAGCTTTGCTGCCATGCGTGTTGTTAAACACACGCTTCACAAATGCGCTGTTACGCCTAAAGCACCAGCTGCAAGTATTTGGTGTGGTTACTTTAAGGGAGGGAGGAAAAAGGAAAAGAAAAAGCAATAGCAATCAGAAATCTAACCCCAGGCTCTCAATGACGGGAAGGGGAGTGGTCCGCCTGCACCACTCCGAGACATGTCTAACCAGGCGACCAGAAGCGGGAAATGATGCGGGCTTCCTCTCTCGCATCACAGGATGTCTCACTGATAAGGGGTGTCCAGACTAAACACCACCAGACGGAGAGCTGCTGCACGGGCAGTGCCGGCGCTCCGCTTCCACCCGGGTGAAAAAAGAGCCGGGCACCCGCCAGCGCAGCTGAACGTCCGCGCCAGCGGTACCGAGGGGAGCTCTGCGACCCTGCAGCTGTGGCCTCCCTGGCATTGTGGCACGCGTCGCAGTTTGTCACAGTGTGGCTTTTCAGTCTTCTCGTACACCCCCTTCTTTGGGAATACAGGAGGTTTCCTGATGCGAAAGGCTGACAGCACCTCAAAAAGGACGCGAGCAGCTGAACGTGCTGCAGGTTTGTCTGAAGACACGAACAGCGCAGGCGCAGCATCAGCTGCTTGATGCATAAACCTTTATGTGTCCTTTTCTCGTTAATTTGGAGCGCATACAGGAAGGCTGCCACTTACATTGTGTCACTTATTTTTGAGGAAACCACAAGTCTCTAGACAGGGTTCATGTGAGAGAAATAGCATCAGGCAAGCGTGAGCGGAAGTAAGACAGGAGATCCAGGGTGTAAATGTCTGTGTATAGGCTTAAAGTATTAGCTTAAAGTATTAGATGCTTAATATGTGTTGAATAGCAGTGTGGTTTATGGCGCCTTTTTTCCAAGGAGATCCAAATACGGGTGGGCTGGTGCGGTAGCCTTTGTTTTAGCCCAAACCAGATGCATTTTCCATTCCTTTGTTAAATGGCAATCTTTGGCAACTGCTGCTCTTACCTGTGTGTGGCCTAAAAGTGTGTATTTCAAACCAGTGCAGGTTTCTGGCATGTTTATACCCTTGAATACCGGGGCTTTGCTCTGCCTTGGGTACCAGAGGACTCCCTGTGCCCCAGCTGCCTCAGTCCGCATTCCCAGGCGCCCTGCCCATCCTGCCTCCCCACCCTTCCGCACACGGCACACGAAGGGTGTAACGGTTCTGGTGTGACACGGGCCTTGTACGCAGGCTGGGGAGTCCGTCTGCGGGCACCCCGACTCATAACCAGTCTAGGAGGTCTGAAAGTAAAGGACTCCGCCTGTGCACACTTACCCTGTAGTTCACTGTGCCTCACCGCTGTCTGCCCAAAGCAACGCCAGTGATGGTTTAAGGGGTACGGGGACCAGAGTTCTCCTAACGAGCCTGGTTTTCACCCTCCTTTCTGGACCAGAAGCCACCAGAAGCATTTAACAAGGTCGAAGCTAAACAGCTCCTGCAGTGCGCTTGCACCATTGTGCAGCAGCGTCTGAAAAACAGTAGGGAAAAGGGAGTTCCTTCCTCACCTCAGCTCTGGTACTCGGGTGTCTGCGAGTGCGCGGGTTTATTACTCGTCTCGCTTTGTGCTAAGGCGCTAGTCTGTGTTAGTCTACGAGATCACAACAGAACGGAAACAGTAAAACAGTTTTATTGTGTTTTTAACATGCTTTTCTCCAGATCGAGGACCTGCAGGTTAAGCTTCAGCACGCGGAGGCTGACAGGGAGCAGCTCCGAGCTGACCTGATGCATGAACGGGAGGCTCGGGAACACCTGGAGAAAGTCGTCAAGGAGCTTCAGGAACAGCTGTGGCCGAAGTCCAGCAGCCAGCCCAGCAGCGACAACCCCGCGAGCGCCATGGAGAACTAAAGCAAGGCCGCGCCGTCCAGCACAGCCCGGGGTGACGTGTCTGCAGAGGGAGGGAGGAGGGTGGGTACGTGTGTAAGGGCATGTGGGAGCAGCTGTGTCTCGGCACACGGATCTATGAGTATGGATTCTTACTAGGTGGAAGGCAAATGTTACTCTTTATAACAGAAGCACTGAATTACGCCTCTTTTTTTTCCAATCCATATAGCACAACATCTTACTGTGCCTATAAAACACAAAGTGTTTATAAACAAAATACTTTTAAGTCCACAGCAAATTTTCTACTGGCAAACTCCAAGCAAGCAGCATCGTCCACCTGAAATCAGAGTAAAAGGCAAGCATGGCCGTGTTTTTATGTTGCCCTTCTGCCTGTTGGAACATTTTGGAATTTAAAAACAAACAAACTTTTCTTATAAGCTATTTAAGATAATTCATTACACAGACTTGGTATTAAAAAATTAACAAGATTTTTATAATGAACCTTTAAAAGCAAAACAAAAAAAAAACCTTTGATGCACAATTTTTAATGACTTGTAGAGGCTTTGGGATTCTTAACGCAGAAGCCCTCTGGTGATGACGCCTTTTCGTTAGCAGTTTTCCAGCCATCGAGGAAGCCATCGCAGTTTTAACCCCGTCACATGGTCGTGTGAGCGTTTCCGAGTGCTTTTCAAAGTTGATTTTTTCCTTAGAATTCTGTTCATTTCCTGTCCTGAACCCGAGAGGAGAGGAGGCTGCAGGATCGGGGAGGGGAGCGGGATGGGCCGAGGAGGTGCGTGCTGTCGAGGGACAAACCCAGCCTTACGGACTTCAGCGTCTGCAGATCAACCACGCCATCGCCGCTCAGGCATCGGCACCGACGAGTGCGTTCGAAAGACGCGCATCGTCCACAAGCACTTCAGCTTTAGGAAAGGAAAGGGGGAAATAAAGGAAGGAAACGGATGACCTGTTCAGTCGGCTGAGAAACGAAGCAGAAGACGTGTGCGTTCTGAAGTCATTCTGAAGCCTGTACTGCAGTTTTCTGGAAAACTCACCGTTGTTGCACCACCTCACCATCAATTCAGTATTTACCTGCTTTTATTATGAACTGTGAGTCAGGATTTCTTTGCCCAAGGAGAGTGCGACATCGCATTAACAGATACTACGGAAAAGAAAAACAACATTTTTGCTGCTGTGAATAAGCATACATCTTTTTTAAAAAAAAAAAACTTTTTTGTTTTTTAAAAAAAAGAAATTACTTTAATTTTGGCATCCAAGTCGCAGCCCCGGCCTAAGGATGCAGCATGCCATCACTTTGTCTTACTGTCGGTGTCGTCGTCGTCGTCGTTAATTTTTGTTTTTTAAAAAACCTGCACTTTGTCAGAATCTGACTCTGCATTTTATTCCGTATTTCTCAAGTTTACAAGTTGAGCATTCTAGAGTCTACCCTGCCCACCAGATGTGAAAGCCAGCCGCCCCGTTTTCCACCGTGTGGCACCTCGCAGCCTCACCGACAGCGCTGCCAGGCGGGGAGTCAGCAGGTCCAGGGCGCTGCCAAGCGCAAACACGCTGCAGCAGCGCTGCTGGCGGGGTTTCAGCCGCGTTCTGCCTGGCGTCGCGGCCGATGGGAGCTGGGGCGCAGCGGAGGCTCCCGAGAGCGCGTGACAAACAAAGCTGGTGCTCTACTGAACGAGAGAGAAGTGATTTTCACCCACAACACTCACCTCTTACACACTCAAGCGTATCGGCATGACGTGAAAATGGGGTCTGGGGCTGCAGATGTGCCTTCCAGCTCATTTTTCCTCTCAGCATCTTCTACAGGCAATGCTGACGCTTTTTTTTACCTCAAAGAATAAAAAGAAAAAAAAAAAAAGAAAACCCTATGCATCATCATACACAGAAGTTATTCTAAACAAAGATTAATGTATTTCCAGTAATCTTTATTTGCTTTTGGACATTAATGCAAACTATGTAAGCTTAAAAATTATTTCCCAGTAGACAGAAAGCGGCTTCCAATCCTAAAATTCTAGTATTTACTGACAGTACATTAGAGGTTTTTTGGGTTTTTTTTAAACAAGAGCTGTTTGCTTGAAACCATTATAATAACCATTATAATAACTGTGAGCATTAACAAGGAAGTTCATATATATGTTTTAGGTACAAAAAGAAGAAATACGACAGGAGTGGAATTACTGGGACAATGTAGAACTGTTGGGAGCAAGAACCAGTTACACCAAGTCCAGGCCACGAACCTGTCCGCTCGCCCAGGGCTTTGCCCTCGCGTGTTTGGGGTGCGGGAGACCGAGGCTCGAGGCAGATCTCCTCTTCTAAAGTGCAATGCAAAAGGAATTTTGATTATGCTTAAGCAGGTTTTTTTTAATGTGGGGTTGGTTGTTTTTTTTTGCTTCTTTGTATGTTTTTTTTCTGCGATTATTAAATCATATGCATGGAATTAAAATCTCTGCCATACGTATATTCATTAATGGGCATTATTACTGTCTTATGTAAAGGGTTTGTTTTGTTATGCAGTATGCATAAAAATGTTCTCAGCCTTATGATTTCCAGATCTGTATTATTCACTTATTTCCTCAAGGGAAACTAAATCATTGTAGCTGTAGGTGACACCGTGCATTTCGGGAGTCTCACAGGCTACGCTTTACTGCCGCGTTAAGAAATTACACACAGCACTCATGGGAAGCCTCACGTCGCAAACTGTATTTGTCTGGGTCCCCCCCACCTCCCGATCTCCGATCGCGTCTCTCCCAAACAAAACCTGGCCCCCTGCTCTTGCCAGGGAGCGCGGCCCACTCACCTGCACCGCGTGACGCAGCTTTTCTTCCTGGGTGTTGAGGGAAGCGTGCGGATTCACTGGCACAGTTTCTTCTGTGCATATGCTGCTTTTGTCCTCCAGAATCTATGAAATCTGCATTTTATTTTTTTTTTTTTCAAACAAAAAAACAGAACAGTAAATGGTCTTGTCAGCAGCAAACAGTCTGGTCAAACAACCAGCAGCACCTGTGCCTCACAGGTAAACGGGGTAAGATTTGCAAGAGGTCTCCAAAATGGACTTACAACCATTGCTACAAACCCACCGGTTTCTCCTTGTGCCGTGCATGATGGTAAATGCGATCAGGTGTAAAACCTGACAAACGAACTTCCATGGCTTGAGCTTACGGCTCAACAGCATTTGATCCTTGGGAGCGAAAACACCCCAGCAAAAACATGGCTATAAATTAAGATTTAACGCCAGTCTGATGAAATACAGTGCAAGAAGACTGGGAACAAACGTTCTCTACCAGCAGTTCATCAGCAGGAGAGCTTCACAGGCTAGGAGTCCCTCTTGCATCATTTTGTCTTTCCTAAATACAATTTAACAACAAAATTTAAATTATTTTGCAGAATAGATGACTTAATTCTGAATTCCTGTGCACGTGATTTATTTTAAAGTTGTCAGGAGACGGCCAGAGACACTAATTCTAGAAAAGGGCTGTCGAAACGGTGGGAATCTCCAGAGAAAAAACAACTTGGTGGCGGCGCTGGCGGCGAGGAGTTCTGTGTGTAATTTCT